TTCCTCTGTCTGGAGGACTGAACAGAGGCACCGCATAAATAGTGGTCCAGTAAGCCTTTAAATGAATGTGTCCTTCTCATTATTCTAGTTACTGATGCTTGCAGGTCTAATAATCCCTTTTTTTAAATAATTGTGCCTCCTGGTGGGAAATGACAGCATTTATTTTCTTTGCCGATTGTTTGTGTGCGCTGGCTTTAGGCCCTGCCAAATAACTCAGAAAATCCTGTGTGCTGCTGAATGTAGAGCCAGCCGATAATCCACATACATCACATGTCTGATCACCAGGAGTTTCTTTTAAATATGAGGAGTAGATTCTAGAGTTCAGATGTTAGATTATAGATTAGAGTTTACCAGAAAACATCTCAAAGAGTTCAGGTCAGATGAGATTAACTTCCCATTATTAGCAAAGTATAGAGAAGAAAACGTGGCTCATGATTGGAAGCACACCATCTGTTCAACATGGTGGACACATTGTTATGACATAGGGCTTCCACTGGTGTTTATTCTGAAGGGCTATAGTCTCTGCTCAGATACAAGCAAATACTGCTAAATGAATCAGACAGCAGTAAATGGATAACAACCCAAAGATTACTGCAAAAGCAACTCACGAGTTTCTTAATGCAAATAAATATTTAATATTCTCCAACAATTAAGTCAGCCACTTGATCTCAGTCCAACAGATCATGCTTTTTAGTTACTGAAGACAAAACTGAAGCCACAGAAACAACTGCAGCGAAGGCAATAGCCGAGCATATGAAGGAAGAAAAAACAGCATTCAGTGATGTCCATGGACAGACTTCAGGCAGTTACAGACTCCAAAGCATCTTCATCCATGTATGAAACACATCATCACATATTTAAAATGATGTTAGTTGGTCCCATGAGTTCTGAACCTCTAGAAATGGGATCCTGTGGACAAAAAAAACTATGTCTTTTTTGAACAGTTCTGCCTTAAAGCTCAAAGTCTGCACTTCAATCACATTTTGATTGCCTGATTTCAAATGCACTGTGGTGAAGTACAGAGGCCAAACTGCAAAAAACTGCCCCTGTCCAAATACTTATGGACCTAACTGTATTTAGCTGGAGCCAACTAATGACTTTAAGGTGAGCCAATATACACCTTTGGCAGACTCAGTGGCGCCTTCCCTCTGTCTTTCGAGTAAGTGCGAACAGCTGAATGGTCATACAATAGATCTCAATGAAGCTCAATGATCTCGCGGTTAGATCCGCTCTGATATCCCTTTGAACAAGTAAAATCTACAACCAGCGGAGGACAGGCTCAGCGTGGAGCAATGCCAGCGGCAAAAGCAGGGGACAACAACTTCACATCGTTGCATTTACAAGACGGAGAAGACAGACGGGCCTGTCACTGTTGTTACACGATTCATGTCGCTACAGGTTCTGTATCGACGAGGATGTTAGAAAACTGCCCAGCTGCTTGTCAAGGCTGGGAAACCAGGAGAGAAGGGGAGTGAGAGAGGGGCGCTGATAGAAACACTACAGTATGATGAGGAGAAGCGCACTGAACTGCACACTTTGTTCCCGTTGCAATAAATGGCAACACACAGGATGGTTGAATTGTGTGACATTCAATCATTTTGTTATTGTGTGCTTTTCATCCAAACTGAAAACAACAGCTTCTACACGACACACTGTCTCACCCCTCCCACCTTTAACCTCTCTCCTCATTTACAAACTTTTATTCATGATTGTACATTCTTCTAAAATGTTACATAAATTTGCCCAAAATCTATGTGAATTTTTAAGGTCGTGGTTTGTGTTTTACTTGTTTAAGTGTGCGCATGTAAAATGATGATCTATGAATCTGAAGTCAAAAACAGAAAAAAAAACCGCCCATCACAAGCAGTTTAAAGACTTTAATTCTGTTTTACTTTTGCCATAAACCACAAGAACTTGCAGCAAGTTTATTTCCATTATTTGAATGATACTTACAACATCAAAACATACCCAGTGCTTCAGACATAATAAAAGCAATTCTATTCACAACTTTTAAAATCTCTCTTTTAGAGAGAGCAATGAGGGGAGGAATATCTAGATTCTAGACATGAATTTGGGGGATAAAAGTTCTGGGGAGCTCAGAAGTAGTTTGGCGGCGGCAGAAGAACGGGGTGGGAGGGGTGATGGTGCAGAGGTGCGGGCAGCGGGTGCAGTTGCGGGTAGAAGCCGCAGCTGGCGGGGAGCTGTCCGGTGAGGAATGGGTGCTGAAACAGCATCGGGGGCAGAAGAGAGGTCTGCACTGTCAGGAACTCCGTCCTTCTGTCCTGGACCTCCCTTTTTAGTTTCATCCTCCTGTTCTGGAACCACGTTTTCACCTGTGAGATGCAAAAAAAGGCCATAAGGTACTATCCTTTACGCACAAACAAAAAGCAAAGGGACTTTTTATATAGTATATTTATTATGTTTATATAGTTTTTGAAACAGATTTACACTGAATTACATCGGGTAACTAGATGGCAACATAGTAATAAAAGTCTTTGTCATTTGTTGAGAGCATGTGGAAAGCTTTGCAGTGCCACTGAGGAGGCCTTGAGGAAAGCATGCATGTAACATACTTGGGTTTCAGAAAGATTCAGCTCCTCGGCGATTTTCCTCCGCTGCGTAGCACCCAGGTATTTCTGATTGCTGAAAGTATGCTCCAGTTTGCTAACTTGTTCGGATGTGAACTTGGTCCTGAGTCTCCTCTGCTGGGTGGCCTCCTCTTCGCTGTCATCTCCCACTTCGCTCTCGGACCCAGAAGAGTTGTCGCATCTGTCTGGGGGGAGAAAGATGAGAAGTTGAATTAATTTAGTCAAAAATCAATACGCACACAAAGGCCCTATCAACGACAGCTCTTAAAACAAAAGGTTTATCAGTGAACTTACTGTTTGGCGATGTTGCAGAGTATCGACTTCTTGATTCCTTTGTAAATTCCACAATTTCACTGAGATCTCTCGAATGAAGCGCGGCATCCTTTGTCCGTAGAGTCATCTCCTCATAATAACTCCTGGCAAGGCACTCAACAGAAAAGTTAGCCATGGTGGATAGAAGCAGCGGTTGAAGCAGTATGTGTTTGTATGGATGACTCTTGGCCGCTATATAGGAGGGGCACACTTCTTTGTTTGCATATGCAAAGCGATCTCACAGGAACAATGGGGACTTGATGGCGGTTGTAATTGAGGTTAATAGAGGCAGGATTCTACTTTTTCTCAGGTCGTGCTGGGATGCCCTGGCGCCACTGAGTCTGACTCTCATTTACCTGGCATTTCAAACTGAATGATGTCTGCATAAAGACTATCATGTCTGTATCCGCCACTAAATGCGATGAGAATAACTATAAATGTGGGAGGTGTCACTTGTCTGTGAAGCTTCTCAGTCATCCAGGTCATCATAGTCAAAGGAGCTTGCAAAGAAAAGCGTCTGGACTTCTTTAAGTTACTTGAAGACGTTTCACCTCTCATCCGGGAAGCTTCTTCAGTTCTTCAGAGGTGTGACTTGTTTAACCGCCTTCGGTCAAGAAGAAAAATCCATACAGTTACGCAATGTTTCCATCAACTACCCACCACCACCACCACCACCATCATCTTATCAACCATCAACACACACACACACACACATTTTTTTTTCAGGTAATCAAGGGTGTAGGTGGCTCTTTAGCGCATGTTGTATGCGCATTGAGCAACCTGGTGATGATGCCTTTGTCAGGGTGGGACCGGGTGAGTGTGTGTGTGTGACCGTAGTCAGAGAACATCGACAGAAAGTGAGAAAGTTTGTTTGATCTTTGCTGACATAGATGTTTGCCTCAGGCAGCTTGAAACCTCACACAGCAGGGAACCTGCAGGTTGTTGTTTTGCATTTTTGCCGAGCTTAATTCAAAAAATTTGAGCATTTATAGCAGGTTCATATCAACCAGTGAATTCCTTCGTTCTTACACAACATGGGTTATGAATTGAAATGTCAAAAAGAGAAAAAACTGTCCTAAATTTATGAGTTTAAACAGGAGCCCTCCACCCCCTCATTTAATTATCTCTAGACTAGTTTCGAATCGAGCTCACTATCTCCAGATGTCATCACACAATCAGGTTTTAACCTCCACATCCCTTGGCCATACAAAGCTCCAGACTCTCTGGAGCCAGGTCGGAGCCCCAGTGGTAAGTGTAAACTCTTCAATGAGAGGCCTAATTAGGACTAATTGTTAACCATGATCTCCCCGTTACCTTGCGTTTGAAGTGCAGTAGTGGGGACAAACATGTTCAGTCTTTAATTACAGAGGAGAGTAAAAGTCAGTATGAATGGGGGGGTCTTTTGTTATAAATTTGACCTTTGTAGCAACAAAAACAAGAAGAAAGTGACGTCATTTACGGTTTCCGGGACGCGTTGAGGAATCCTGATTTAATCTATTGTTATTTGTGTATATGGTCAAATCAGAGGAGATACAGTGATGCGATGTGACCTTTAGCCCCTTTTTGTCATTGATCCTTCCAGACCCGCCCTCCATTATGATGAAAGACAGGATGAGCTATTTATGTGGAACTAATACTGCAATAAAGATCATCAGCTCAATCCTTATAATCTGGACAGAGATAGAAAAAACAAAGAAGTCAACTGCTGAAGCTTAAGGGATAAATTTATTAAAAATAAATAGATGTTTCTTTAATTACATAAAAAATATTTTCATTGTATACAGATATTTAAAATCACACAAATAAAAAAAACTTTGATTGCACATCTTCGGCTCATTTGGGTAAAGAGAAGTCTCTAAAGTGACAGTTCCTCAGTAGAAATGTGGGTGGTGTATCATTGTTCGATGAGGGTAGTGAGGAGGCATGTGCTGATGGTGGAGCAGCTGCGGGACAGGTAATGGGTAAAAGGGATGGCCCGTAGGAGAGTAATGGGGTAGATGTCCGGCCATGCTGTGGTACTGAACCGGAGGCAGAGGCTGAAAAATGACCGGCGGGACTTGGGGAGTGAGAAAGTCCTGGACTTCCCGTTTCAGCTTCATCCTTCGGTTCTGAAACCAGGTCCTCACCTGACACAAGAAAAAACAAAAACAGTTCAGTCAGCATCCGCAGCACTGAGCAAATTGGAGATGTCTGTGTCTTCATAAACCCAAAAGTAAAAAGAGTTTACTGGCGCGCCTCACCTGAGTTTCTGTGAGGTTCAGCTTCTGTGCCGTCTTCTCTCTCTCCCCGGCATCCAAATATTTCTGTTTGATGAATATCCGTTCCAGTTTTTTGATCTGCTCGGACGAAAACTTTGTGCGAACTCGGCGTTGGGGTCCCGCGTCTTTTCTCCCCTCGTTCCCCTCATCCACGGATAGGCTAGCCGGGGAAACCGGGTCGCTCTCATACCCGCAGAGGTACTCGCTGACGTCACGAACTAAAAGAAGGAAAACCGTTACAAACTCCTCTTCTGCGTAAAGCTCGACTATGCTGTTTAAAGCCAGGAGATGTTGGGTACTTACTCGGTGGGGTGCAATTTGATGAATCCAGTGGCGAGCACAGTGTTGAGTCCTCGGCTTCGCAGCTCTCCGCTGGCCCCAAGTGTTTGAAGCGTTTAACTGCTTTGGACTTTATCTGCAGGTAACTTTTGCCAATGGGCGGTGGGCTTGGCTGCACCATGCAGGGAATGTGAGGTTTGCAGGTAAGGGTCGTGTCCATGTCAGCACAGTGCCCCTGAATGGTATTGTGATGGTTCTGGGCCAGCCAGTCCACAGAAAAGTATTTCACCATGTTCACAGTGGAGCTGTGACAAGTTTGAGAGGGTCTGTGCTGGCCACGGTCGGCTTTTATAGGGGGGTCAGCCCCTAATCGCATTTGCATATGTAGAGATCCTTGTTAATGCCTGATCGATTCCAATGATTGTGGGATAATGACTTTACATATCCTGTGAGTGTGTCAAGACCTGGCGCCGTCTAGTCTGTGGAAACTTTTGAGTCCATGCATTTCTCTGAACTGAAAGTGAAATTAGGAGCCTCACTCAAAATTATATTTCAGCATTTGCTACTTGTATAAATATAGTTATTTACATGGGTGATATTTTGTTAATATTTCAGCTGGAAAAAAAAAACAAACATTAAAGAACCCATGTTGTTTCTAACAGGAATTTTGGCGCTAAATCAGGTTGCTGCGCGTGCAGACAGTAGACTAAGCTACAGCTCATGTTTTCCTTTTAGATAATACCATTAGATTCATTAAGTCGGGATTCACAGTGTAAGAGCTTTAGCAACTTTCACTTTAGGTGATTAAACATTGTTACATTTTGGAATCCTTTTTATTACTTTTACAGCACATGGAATCTGAAGTTGTCCAATTCTCTTTAAATTATGACAGTTAACCCAAACCGCTTCCCACACTTTAGTGATAATTATATTACGCACATTATAATTATTCTGCACTCAAGTATATTTCGATACTTATTACTTTCAGTTAAGTAGTTTTATGAAGAAAATGAAAACACGAATATAAACGATATAAAGTAATAAAAATGGAAACACTGTTAAAACAAATTGTGTACATTTTCAGTTATACTTAGTAGCTGTTTCTGACCATTTTACGCGCAAAACATAAACAGTTACGGTGCTTTGTTAAGGAGGAAATGTGTATTTGCTCAATTTCTCATGACAGTTCCATTTGAAATCACAGGCTGAGCCTCTGAGCTCCCTGCTTATCCAGTTTGCTAACAAGATGGGAGCGTAAACAATAATTCCCTAAGAGACGTCTGATAGTAACCAGGTAGAAAGCAACATTTAACAAACAAGATGGTTTGGGCAGCACCTAAATTTGGGGAGCCATTTCTAACGCTCTCATCACATTTGTGCCTGTAACCCTCAAGCTCCCACTGCAATCAGATGGAGAACACAATGGTCTCCAGCGGTTTCATATTGACATGTGTTTGATACCCCGGCCAGCGCTGGCGCCAGTTACCCAAGAACCAGCGTTTGGCACAGGCACTTCAAACATTACAGATCAAAGGCATTAAAGTAGCAACACAATTAAGGTCGATTGTCGCCTCGTTCACATGCAAATATGCCAAAACAAGCTGCGAGGAAGCTGTGGAGAGGGCGAGCAGGCTCAGAGAAAAGAATTCAACTGATCCTCACACATAGATATTAAATATAAAAATAAATACTTCTAAAGGGTGTTTACTATCCAAACGCTTTCCAGTAGGATAAGCTTTTACTCGCTGGTGTAGTCTACTATCTAGTAGTTGAAGAATGACAGTCCTGCGTCATGTCAGCTAGGTGCCAAATAACCAGACAGACAGCTTTCCGAGAGAAAGCGCCTAACCTGTGGGACTGGCCCTCTGCTGAGATATCTCCACAGGCAGCAGCTCGGTGACAATGCCGCTAAACTGATCGTTAGTTATATAACAAAGCAGATAAGAGGCTGGTCCTAGTTGTCTCCTTTATCGGTAATCTGTCGTTGTGAAGGCAGGAGTCCATTCAGTCTTTGGGGTCTCTTTATCTCCTCAGCTTTGAAGATGCGCCCCGATCGTCAGATAACAATGAAAAAGGCCCGGGACGTCGCCTGCACACTGAGCCTGTTTCCTCAGCTCTGTCTCCCTGAGAGCTCTGCCTCTGTGTGTCTCAGAGCAACAGCCGCACTGACTGTATTCATTTTTTTTTCTTAGTAGGTCACTAGCTTGGATAAAGTCACTCAGCTGGTTTAGTTTATTCTTGAGCAGCTGGAGCATCAATCTTTGTTTTAAAAAAACTCACACAGGAAATAAAGGCAAAGCATTTAGGACCTTCTGGTTTAAATGAAGCCTTTAGTCATCAGACCCTGGATCACTGGTGGGATAACTGTTTAACTATCCATGACACACTGTGAAAGATCTATGCCCAATTACCCAGTGGGCAATAGGTCTGCAGTGTATTACTGAACCATATTTCCTATTACTGGGATTTTTTTTTACTGGAAAATCCTAAATAGAGTTAAAAGTGAGAATTTTTTTTCAGTTAAATGTAGCAGATGTATGAAGTCTGAGCACCCCTAAAATTATGCCTCAACAGTCTTACACTCCACCACAGTCTCTTGCATGCTTAAAATCCCACTGAGCTTATATTAGAATTGCTTTGAACGGATGACATGTTTCCGATATCCCCAGACGTCCATACGAGATGTCAGAGACAACAGCTGTAGGACACAGTTCATCACAAAAGATGCTCATAAATATCTGAATATTTGTGCCTAAAAAAAGAGGATTAAAATGGAATTTCAGTGCCCTCCGGTTTGCGGGATAGCATACTAAAAACTGATTTCCCAGTGAATGACTTTCTGCCAAAATTAATGGAGCACAAAACATGAAACATTTGGTTTTTTAGGAGTTATTTCAGTGCTGTGTACAGTCATTTCATATTTATATGAAACACCTAGTTGGAGGGAAAACTGAGCTTTACTTCTACAGTCGTCTGATTTCTGCACATTCATCTCACATATTAGCTTTTACTAAGATCAAAAAATGGCTGAAATGACAGCTGTTATCAGTATGATTTACAGTATGTGCAGTGCAGATAGGCACGCTTGCTTGGTGAACAATATAAAAATGTAAAAGCAGATTGTGGTCAGAATGTTTACACCAGCGTAAAACGTAGTGTAGCCATCATAATATAACTCCCCACACTATAAATGACATTTGAATCCTATAAACTGCAGGAAGAAGGAAACCCGAGCAACAGCTCACATTCTCTGCCTGATACAACAGCACCCTAACCTGCCATACGGCCAATCTATCACGGATGTTGTCTGACAATAATGAGCTCTGGCAAGAGAAGGTTTATAAAATCTCATTTATTTGGCCATATTAAGCAAATCGTCATAGCACGTCACATTCCATCTCCACGCTGGGTTTCACCGAGTGCGAGAACAGACAGCAGACACAGGCTGAACATCATTCCTCGAGTAACATTTTGCATGCCGACATCTCATTATGTTCCATCATTTGCTCGGTAATGGCAAGTTTTTGTCACGACTGTGAGCGTGTCTTTTTGCATTTCACCACACGCTATTCTTAATGAATGCAATTACTACACATGGCGCTGTTTAAATGGGATTATTATATTTTAATTTATCAATCTAGTCATGTAATTCTTATTTCAAATCCTAATTGGTAAACAAATAGAAGCTATAGGCTTGTGACCAGCGAGAGGAAAAACAACATCAAGTGTTTTAGAAAGGTGTTCACCCACCACGTGTCACAGGAATATCTTCAGTGCTCCCTGGCATTGATTTTTCAGGTGTCTGGAAAGCTACTGGAGGGATGGAAAACCATTCCCCCAAAGACCATCCCCTCTTTTGGTGTTTTGGAGAATGCATCAGACTGCAATGTCCCCTCAATTAGGTTGAGATCTGCTGACTGTGAAGGAGCAGTGGATGGGCCAGCTGCAATACTGGATAAGAGAAATCTCATAATAGATAGAAAGGATTTTTCATACAAATAAATAATAAGGTGATCAATCAGAAAAACATTTTTGGATCTGAAGCGAGCCTTCCCTCTGTGGGGACAACTGGAGCCAAACTGTGCCACTTAATCTCGTACCACCTCTGTGTTGAACTTTAAAAACTTTATTTCACTTGAATGACTGATATGGCTGGATTCAAAGTTTGCAACCTATTTACCTCCACTACTTTCCTCTGATGCAATTACTCATGCTCTGCAGGTTTTGCTGTGTGGTGATATAATGAAACGTGGGCCTTTAATCATTTTGGAATATGCACCGTGTACGCACAATATCAGCTGAAATAACGGAGTCCTCAATAATCTCGCATTCACTTTACATTGCGACTGCTATTTGTGCAGAATCACAGTTCTCTCTTTCATTATGTTTTCACAGTTATTTCAGTCATGTTTGTGTAGAAAACCATATGAACTCCCTTCAGAACAGAACTTGGATCTCCCACAAGTTCCAAGGAACCGAGAACATTTTGAGGAACTGCACTTCCAATGATATTAACAGCGTCTAAATTAAATGTCGTGTCAATCGAAACAGGAAAAAGTTCCCGCTCAGTGCTCACTGCTTTCCAGAGATTCTGAAACTTTTTGATGTGGTTGGCATCACTGAGTGCTCAAATACAGCAGCATTTTCTTACTGTACCTATTAAAAGATTGAAACTGCGGAGACCGTCGTTGTGGTTTAATCATCGAGCTGAGATCAATAAAAATCATAATGAAGAGAATTTATGACCAAGTCCAGGCAGTTTGATTAACACTGTAGCCAGAGCAGTTCTGGTTAAAATAAAAATCTCAAAGAAGTGACACGACAACATAATTTACATGAAAATAGTGTCTTTTTGTCTTATGGGCTGACAGGCATGTTAATTGCTGCTGAGGAGGAAGTGTCTTTGAATCCAGCGTCCAGTTCTTATAACAACCACAACACATCGGTGCTTTGTGCTAAATGCTAACGTCAGCAGTCCAACATGCTCACAATGACACTGCTGCTAGTGTTAAAGTTTGCAAGCCACATTTTACACTCAAAGTTTAATGTGTTGCTAAATTTGAGTTAGACGTAAACACAACGTTTTATTAGTCTGCTCTAAACTAAAAGCAGAAATGTCAAGCATGCAACCAGAACTTGCTGCCAGAGGCTCCACTGCAGTCCAAAGTATAGAAATTGCTGTGAATTCATTAATGACTTCTTCTTTCTGCTTTTATTAAAAAGCACTAGTATTCCTGGTGTGTTCATGCGGTGCTAGCATAACTCCACTGTAGTAAAAATGTATCAGAGAATGAAAAAGCAGTTTTATATCTAGAAAAATTATTTGAATCATAAAAGAACCACAAGTTACAAAAGCTTTTTTCGACTTCATAGATCTGCTGTTATCTGTAAATTGTAATTAAAGGATGATGACAGCTTTACTTAGTGTGGAAAAGCTGAAAATTGTACTCATTGAAGATCAAATTATGCCGTATATGCCCCGGGACTTAATACGTGTGACATCCAGAGCTGAAGTATTAATGAAACAAACCTGTTGACCTCACGATGGCGCTAAATTAAGAGTTAAGAATCGGTGAAGCTGTAACAGTCAGTTAGTTAGTTGTCAGGAGATTTAAGTGAAAACCAAACTACTGGTATGAGGAAACTAGTGAGAGGATTTCTAATGTTTTTCTGTATAAAACAAAAATATTTGCAGAAATAAAACCTTTACAAATGCTTCAATGCTTCCAAAAGGTGCCAAAAAAGGTCATTTTGGAAGTTCCCCTTAAGGCTCCTCACATATCAGCTGATATTTTGCTTAATTGTGCATATTCTAAATATATTATAATTGATCATATTACTACACCGCTATATAAAGAACCTTTGGCTTTTTGTGTTTTAGGCCCTCGCACAGTAACTCGCTTTTTTAATCCGATCTTGGTGCTGGACAAGCATTGTACAGCTGCCATGTTTAGTCCAGATATGCTTACATACAGGTTTTAACAGCTAAATTACAGAAGAAGAATGTCAGTATTAGCTGAGGAAGAAAACATTACCCACTACTCCTGTTGGTTTATAGGAAAAAAAATGCTAACATGAAAATCAAGCATGTGGGAACAACAGCAGAACCTGTTCATACACAGAGCTGTGAGCTAAGTTCACCTCAGATTCTATATTACTGACTAAAGTTAAGGTGTTTTTGACAAACAAGTCAATTGATATCAGAAAATATTTTCCAGTCTGGGACCAGGGAGTGTCTGCGCACTGTGGTCTGGGCATGGCGCCTCACTTTGGGCTCGTACATATCCGGGTGTTGACCTCTAACGCCGGGCTGTGAAAGCATGTCTCACTGGAAGGTGGCCTTAACCCTCCTCAGTGTGTCCTGGATCCTCCGTGTCTGGCGCTCGCTCGACTGCTGGAAGTTGGCATGGCTGTTGGCGGCCAAGAGGTGGATGTCCGAGGTGGTGAACCGGGCGATGCGGCGGCGAAGGTAGCCCTGCAGGTCCCGGTCTGGGCTGTAAGGGTACACGGCCTCTTGGAAGGCATGGACCTGACTCACAACCTTTGCTATGCTCCTACAACCAGTGACGGAACGATGAGGATGAGCACAACATGAAATGGGGAGACACAACAAAGTAACAGTGACACCATTATAAGAATACCTAGGTGGTGTTTTTTTTCTTGTAAGCAGCATTCTTAGCTTTGCCTGCGACCTGGTTTAGAGAGCAGGGATAGCCCAGGGTCCACAGCAACCAGCTGTCTCTGCTAGACATGCTCGTGACCCCAGCATCTGGCTACACTGCGTCACCTCTCAGCATCTGGCCCGAAACCTTTTCTTCCAATCAAACGCCATCCCACAGGCGCCATCTGGTGCTAGCGCTACCCTAACCGACACCTCGAATTCAACAGCTGTGCCATTACCATCCAGCCGCCACGTGTTGTGACCTCAGCATCTGGTCAGCCATATTGGAACGAAGGAGAAGGACACAGGAAAATGCTTCCTGCTGGCTGACTTTGTTGTAGATGGATTCACAGAATATGAAGCCGGAGCACATTTTAAGTTAATGGCACTAACTATTCATACTTTAGGCTACTCCAGGGACAGGTAGCAAACTAACTTTACTGGCTGTATGCATGTTTGAACAGCATCACTCCTTTAACTCTGACATTAGTGCAAATTCCAGCATGCAGTATAATGACAGAGGTGTTTTTCACGCACTTTATGATTCCCAGTGATATTTTTGTGGGGATCTTGATAAAGAGGAGGATTATGCGCATGAAGGACTTTGGCTGCTTGTCATCACTTAGATTCCACGTTTCAACAAATAATCGACCGGCACAACTTGCCGTTTGTTACTGGCAGTCATTAGTTAGCAGTCCTCATGACGACTGCTCAGAATGTGTTGGCATGTGTGTTTTGCTAATGTGTGTACACATAATTAGCCACGCTTGCTGTTATATTACTCCATATTAGCATCTACGAAATGAGACAGAAGGAACGTTTTATCATCAGTAGTAACAAAAGCATACTTTCACTTAATGTGTTTTGCCAAGTGTTACCTCACCGCTATTTTAATGTTTACCTTCGCCAAGGTGCTCATGTTATTTGGCAGCTTCTGTGTTTCATTCTGTCTCTAAACACAACAGCTGAACAAGTTTTGAATGACTTCTGATAAAACCCTGTAGTGGTGTAAAGTGAGGTCACCAAGATCTTCAAGGTCAACTTAGTGATTTACCCTAACCCTATTGGTCGAAGAAGTTTCTAAGTTACAGAAAGTCCTATAACTTAGAAACTATGACTTTTACAACTGTGGTGTGTATTGTCATCATATAGAAAGTATTGCATGAAGAGTTAAGATATTGTGTTTGACCTCTGACCTCTCCTTCAAGGTCAGCAGACTGAGAAAGTCAAAGTGATAGAAATGCTATGCAGAGCTTTTTAAAACTATCTGTTTTACTGCCATTGTTTGTAACACAACATGTAGACAAGTAGGGAATTATGTATGTTGGGATTCTACATATCGCATGACTTCAGACCTCAGAGGTTTTCTTCAAGGTTAAATAAGGTCAAACTTCAATAACGTGTCTTTTATCTTTAAATTGCACTTAAAATGTTTCTGCCTTTGTTTGCATTGCAAAATTTAGGAGATTACACTGACATATGGGGACATTAATATCGCAAATATGTCACATCTGACACTTTACATTTGACTTCTTTCAAGTTGACCCCAAAACATGTTCTATCTTTAAAGAAAGTACCTGTCAAGAGAACCTGAATGTGCTGCCTTGTTAGTTAGAAATATACTGTTGCGTAATATAACAAGCTCAGGCTACCTACAGAAGTAGAGTGTGTGTGGGGGGGAGGGGGGCATTCAGTGGTCATGCCTCACATCCGACACTGTTTTTATTATTTACGATAAAAATCCAAAGGTGAGCAGGCTAGCAAGATAGTACCATAAATACTATACCATACATCAGACACAGCGTACCTCAGTTTGGTCCATTTGTAAGCCCCGGTGGTGAGAGTGAAAGCTCCAATCTCTAGCTGCTGCACGTGCATAGCCAGGATGTGGGCTGAGGGCAGCGTGGGCTTCTTTGTTGTATGTTCACCTCCCATAAGACACAGATCATCACTCTTCAGAAAAACCTGATTAGGAAGCAATACATCCACACAGTGAATAAATACGCTCTTACTGGCAGAGAAAATCAGGTTAAAGATACTTGATGGAGTCCAGTGCAGAGGTGATAGCGAGAGTCTCGGAAGATTGAAAAAAGTCAAACCCTTTGGACTTTTCATAGTCAATAGGCCACGCAGTTTATCCTACAAACTATTACAGCTAAAATAGAGAAGTGTTTCATTTTGTGTAATGCGTCAGGTTTTTTTTTTTTTTAGAGCAACTTGGAGCAGGAGAACCAGCTGTAAGCACACGACACCCGGGAAAGTAGCTCGAAGCTGTTTTTCTATTGATTTGTTTGCCCTGCAGCCCAGTTTCACAATATGTGGCCATCCTAGCCTTCAGTTACAAACACCATCCGCGTGTGCTCATGCTCAAACACACACACACACACCTGCACAGCTCGTAGCTCCTCCAGGATGTCACACACCTTGGACGACAGATGTTTCCACGCCTGTTGGCAAAGGCAACAGTAGTTTTATTAATCATTACCAAAACAGCAGCTTCCATATAGCAGCACTCAGTGAACGTCACCTCCCTGCAGATGGATATATGGAAATTTCTCCTATTTTCCCCAACTCTGTTTTTTTTTTTGTTGTTTTTTTTAATCACTGCTTTTCAGAGTGGGGGGTGGGGGGGGGGGCACATTCTTCTTCGCTGTGTTTGTTCTTCCTACATCTTATTTGAATAGATTAATTTGAATTTTTTGATTTGTGAAACTAATTAAACGCCATCCAAACCCTCTCGCAGTAGAGGGAAACACTTCGCTTGAGGGGCAGCAAGTTATTGCACAAACTTGTGTGAGGAGGAAAGCATTGCCACGGAGCCTTACCGGTAATTGCCTGACAATCACGTTCTCCAGACCTCCGAGGACCTGCATGGCCGTGGCAAAGTTCCTCGATTCGTAGCAGTGCTTTCCTATCCACAGATACTTGGTCAGCAGAGCAACTTGTTTCTGCAGGGGAGGAGAGATTGCAAGAGAAACAAAAATAAACAAAACAAAAAAAAAAGGCAGACAAAGCAAAATGCTAAAATCACGCAGCTCTCTCAGGCTGCATTAATACACACGTACACTGGCAATATATGAAAAATGTTACATGTCAAAGTGCTTTGTGGACACTATGTTTTATCTATTACTCATCTGCTTTCTTGAAAAAGATATCAATGTGAAAATTATTTAACGTGTTCATCTGAGAGCTGCACTTGAAGCTCCTTTATGAGGACAGCTTGAATCAGTAGAAGTGAATCCACATTTATCCAGGAGCTGTTTTTTTGGGAAGCAATGAAAGCTGTTGTCCTTGTCATAGAAATCATAAGCAACACAAATAACTGAAAGAATGAGGTAAATGTGAGGTGAGGAAGTGCAAAGATAGTTTAAGTGCTCTTTAAATAGTCAGAGTATTTGTCATAACGGCGTGAAAAACGCTCCAAAGTGCACGGATAAGTCCTAAAACAGCTGAACATCTAGTGTGTTCTCTAGATGTATTCTCATTGGTTTGCTCAGCTTTTTGTGAGACTTATTAAACAGTTAAATAAAGAAGCTACTTTCAGCCTGTGACTGACACCAGAGTTCACGCGAGAAATCAAAGCCCGCGCTGTGACAGCGATGACTCCCTTTTATTCCCACCTGACCCCGTTACTACCATGAGTTATGGGTCCTCTCACCTTGACAGAGTCGCAGATGACCATTTCAGCAGAGATCCAGTTAGTGACACTATCAGCGTACGTGAGCAGCCGCTGAAGGTAGCTGTCTGAAGCTGGCCCCTCACGTGCAAGCCCACTGCTCCCCTCTGCTGGTGGGATATGCTGCGACACATTTCTGTTAGGAGAGCGTGAGATGTCGGAAAATCTTCACTGGATTTTACGGCTCTAAGTAAGCGCCCAGCAAAAATCCCATGTATTAAAGAACATCTTTAGATTTTCAAATGTTGTATTTTTCCAGGGAAGCTGTGATGGGTACTTCCACTTGTGGAAAATATTATACTTTGTTTATCTGGCATTCACCTGGACCTTTCATGTTTTTCTAGATGTCACCTGAAGAGTTGTCCCACCCACACACTACGAGACATAACTGCCTGAGAAGCACAATTTACATTTGATATGCAGTGAAGCCCACAATTATTCATAGCTCCTCTTTGTTTGTGTCTTTTGTAAAGCAGTAACAGCGTTTTCTGCCAAATTTAAGCTCACTAAAATCGAAAATCTTGACTTTCTTTAAACTCTGTTCGACTATAAAAGCAGAACTAGCCACATGCATACCATTCAGTCAAAGTTTAACTGTGATGAACGCTCAGGTCCAGAGTTGCCCACAGAAATGATTGCTACAGGTGGGTTTAGAGTTGTGATTTAAACTGTTTCACAGAGTCTAGTTCAGGGATGTCAAACTCATTTTTCATGGTGGGCCACTTACTGCCCACTGTGATATTAAGTGGGCCACACCAGTGAAACTCCTCTTTCTGTCAGTGTAAAAACATTTAACTAAACAGGTTTTTTCCGGCGTAAATGTGTAATTGCAGAAAATGTCCCGGGAGCTCATTGCTCAAAGTGTGTTGTATTTATAAAAAATGAAGAATTTGTTAATTTGCAGAAAATAATTCTTGCCATGGATGGACTGTAAAAAAATTCCATAGCAGTTATGAAAAACAGGAAGTTTTCTGTCATTTAATTCTTCTTCCTAAAGCAAAAGGAAAAGCTGTAGAAATGTGGGTGGAAGCAGACTGAAGGTGAGACACTACTGTGTGCAGTAAAGTATTGTCCAAGGTGGATTCAAAGACCTTTGACACTGGAGGATATGTGGACCTAAAGGTGTATTCTGGAAAATAAGCCAGTGAAGATGGCAGAAGGCAGTTTAGTTTGAGCTCAGTATCACAACTAAATTGCCTTTAACCTTTAACTCCCTCGTCCAAAGTCTGTGTGCTTCCCACACATTCACACTCTCATGAACTCATCAGGAGCAAGTTGCGGTTCAGTTTCTTGCCAAAGATTGCAGTAGCCAGTTAGCGAACTACCAACCTTCCAATAAGTAGAATGTAGAGCAGACCTAGGTGTTGATGGAAACTTTATAAGTAAAATCTTCAGTCTGCATATGGTTAAATAGATATATGATAATTTTAGTATTTCATGCACTGTGCAGAGAAGAAGTACAAACAGGTGTTTGTATATAGAACACACACTCTGCATAAAGACGGGAAGAGACAGCAGAGAAAGAAATGAAGTGAATCTGTGAGTGGGGACGCTGAACAGTTTTTCTATACAGGTCACTGAATGTTTGATGGGGTATGAAAATGATGTTAATCATACACTCCGACCTTCACAGGCAACACTTCTGAGCATAATTGAGCAGCTGTGGGTGATTCTGCATAAACATTCAAATGCTCTGCACCTAAAAATCCTTTCATAATAGAGGGCCAGAGACCTCTGATCGTTTGCCAAGGTGCTGTGAAAGCTATTTCAGAGGCTTTCAGAGGCTCTCTAATGCAGGCTTTATAGCTTTTGTACTCACTTGTTCGGGGTTGAGACTTTGTCCCTGACTCCTTGTATTCTGGAGTTGAGGAAATGAACTGGATGGCATCCTTGGAACATTTCCTGCATTACAAGAGTTACAAATACAAGATGCAACATGACAAGCTGGTGCATTCTCAGAGACACGGCTCCCTCTAGTGGCTTGGAATGATAACAACATTAGGTGGTGTACCAGTCACATAAATGGTGCGCTACCTGCTGCAGGAGCGTGAGCTGTTGGGATATGTGTTGTGCACTGTACTCATTTTGGCTGAAGGGCAGTCGTTCTTCACTGTGCAAGCAAGTGCTGGAGAGCTCATCCATCAGGGAGCGGTGACAAGGCATGGGCAGAGCCACAGCAATGGAGAAGGCCTTCTCTTTAGACATGGATGCAGAGGGCTCCACCACTCGCGAGATCCTCCACTGCAAAGTTCACACAGCCATGTTCAGGGCAATAAAGACTTCTGGTAGACTTCTTGTTAAGGGATCTGATCTTATTGGAAAATAGATCAAGATTAAATTTGGCTCAACAACAAGAATGTAAATATTGACCTTTTTCCCAAGATCCTCAGTAGATGAATGCAAACACCCAGAGTCATCGACTTCATCAAAGCTGATTAGGCTCCCTGTCAGATGGCTTGCTGCACTCATACTCAGCGGGCTGTGAAGGCCAATAAGCAAGGCTTCCCCTTGGCTGTCTATAGGAATCACCTGTGGAAGCATTAAATGGAGAATATTTGAACATTGTTTTTTTTTTTTTCATTCAAGGGAATGGCGCTGTACACAGTGTGTATATATCTGGCTACCTCAGTATTAAGGAACTTTTCTAACACGTCCACGAGGCTGGAGTGAGGCACAAAGTCCACTGTTCTGCAGTCTGTTATCCAGAAGTGAAGCAAGTTTAAACTCCGATGGAAAACCTTTTCACTGTCTCCTGACAAATCAGGTCCCTCCCTGAAATGGGAAAAGAAATAAAACCCACATGTAACATGTTTCATACCGTGTGCCGCATATTGATTAGTCATTTATTGGAAGAATTGGAACTGCACACTGCTCAGAGCTGCTCCTCTGTCGTCCTGAGCTGCTGGTTGTACTTTACCTTACAGCACAGATGAATTTATTCATTATGAACTGCAGTAAGTGCTCAGGAGTGCAGAAGAAACGATACGTATACAGGAACTGCTGGATGTAGCCCTCCATAGCTGCATTTCTGTGATGAAAACAATCATAGAGACACTAATTAGAAATCAGCACAAGGCATTATTAGAAACATGATATATAGAAAAAAAAAGAAGAAAAAAAAAGAAACATGATATGTAGAACAGATTCATAATATACAGAAAGGAATATAAAAACATTCGCAAACCGTCCAGACCCGGCAAATATAACATACAAGAGGTGAAGTTGAAGGAACTCAACTTCCTGCTATATGCGAGTTACCCTACATGTCCTACATCTGGATCTTTCCCCACACAGATGTGTAAATTTCACAAAGCATTTCCAGGGAGAGATCCTTCAGAGGTGCCCTAAGCTACTTTAACGACTCCTTTCAACGTGAGGGAGCAGTGACGTCACTAAAATCACAACATTGTCAGTGGTGGTGGGTCTCATGTGAGCCGCCAGACAAATGGGAATTTATAAAGACCCCCTGTGTTTAGCAGAACCTGCACTTTGACTTTAAGGCAAATTAAAAGCTACTTATCTGTGAGCCAATTGTTGAGGACAAAAAAATGCCAAAATTGTCTGTAAGTTGTACTACTGGCAATAAAACCCCCAAAATCTTGTAGGGATCTAAGGGGGGAAACAGTTTGATGTGTGGATGATGATGTTTGAGAGCCTTAAAAGTTTCTTAAGCACAGGAGAAGACAGCAGAAAGACAAAAAGGTGGAAGAAACACTGCAAATGCTATCTGACCGAGCTAAGAAGCTATTGTAGATCTTATAGCTGATGCTGTTTGAGGTTAATTCCACTGACAATACGGTTACATGTCCCACCCGGTGCAATAATGCCGCTCATTTAAATGATCGTCACAACAATCAGACAACTGGTAACTCGAAAAATGCAGGAAGGAGGGAGACCGCTTCAAAGCGCGCATGCCCTGACAGAAGAAGCCCCATCGCTCTCGGACCTCAGCTGAGACTGCAGGACGACCAGAAGAGCTTCGGCTGAGGACCTCAGGTTACGAGCAAACGGTGTAAGGAGAGCTGAAACACAGCTTGGTGTGAGCCCAGAAAAGGGCCTTAAATTTCACAGAAAAAAATCCCCAAATCAATTAACCAATAACCAATGAAGCGAAGCTAAAATAGAGGAAAGTCTGGCTTCTGAGTTTTTGGACAAGCTGTAGTTTGTGTAGTCTTTATTGGCTCAAACAAAAATATAATAAATTACAATAATATCACCTAGAGGTAATAAAAGGGGATCACCTGAGCCGTCAGCTGAGGGCTGGACGTGAGCTCAGCTGATTACTGTGGAGTGTGACTTCACAGCTAACCAGAATGCAAACTGCACTTCCAGTTTCAACTAATTGCACCTTTTGATCAAATGTTTCGTACCTAGTTCGAATTTTTAAGCCCTCAAGTTTAGCAGGTATGCTGCCTATCAGCCAATATAGTATATAAGTGTAGTATGCTGACATCCTTACAATTAGTCAGCATTACTGAGAAAAAAATACCCTGCAAATAAAAAATACCAGCTGTAATAAAGGTCTTATTTTAGAAAAAACACATCAGTAAAACATCAAATATATTCTTAAGTTTCCCGTTGTAAGTGAATACACTCTTTTGACTCTGTAAAATCCCTTTGTTGGACACATCAAAAGCAGATGGAAAGGTTAAATAACTCAGCCTATGACCTGGATCACAGCACTGTAAAACGTAACTAGAAAAAAAAAAAAGAAAAGAAAATCGACCCTTAATCAAATGTACCTGGCGTAGAGGTATGCCATGAGGCCCAGAGGAGATCCAGCCTGCAGAGTGCTCTTCCCTTTGCTGGTACCAAAACTCAAGACTGAAATGTCCTCTGAGGACTCGAGGTCCAACGACTCGAGTTCACAGACAGCCAAAGAGGGGAGCAACGAAAGCTCCAAACCCCACTGGTCCACACTGAGAATCTGTGGAAATGAAAGAAATTCTATCAAGCTTACAAGAACTGGGTTGTTAAGTATGATGCATAAGATTTTTGGGTAAGCTTCTGTACCTCGAGGTATTTCTTCACACTATCCAAGAAGGCTACTTTGGACCTGAGTTCCTCGAGCTGTGACTTGAGTTTAAAGAGCATTGGCTTGCTCTCAGGACCTTTGGAATACAATAAAGGTACATTACACACACAGTCTTTACATGCTGTATCAGAAACACAGCATTTTGCCATTTTCATACTCCTGCGGCGTGTTAAAACGAGCACCCAACCTTTGTTTTTCCTCTCTTGTTGAATCAACTTCTGGTAGAAATTTCTTGTTTTCTTTAGATTCCTTGTTTCAATTACAAGCTGCTGCTGCAGTTCCTGTTCAAAGGAAATCACACAGAATCATACAAAAGCCCTAAAACTGCACCACATGCCTTCTGCTGAAAGAAGCCGTCGGGCGTTTTAAGTGTGTATGGGCCAGTGTTTTTTTTTTTTTTGGTGCTCTCCTCACCGTGGCAACAGAAAGCAACAGCTCTTTTGAAGTGAACTGAGTACGAAGTCGCAGCATCGCAGCTCTTAAGGTACGTTTATTAGCTTTCACGCAAACCTTCCGAAGGAGCAGTGGTGCCATCAAAGCGCTCAAACACGAGGATGATTCATTAATATTCTTTTGCAAATGATAATAACTTTCTCTGCTGAGGGCTAAGTTCAACACATTAATATTCAGATCCAGTTTGGAGAGAATAATATGCCAATTATCCTAAAGTCCCCCACATGCTCTCGTCCTATTTACCCCAAAGCCTGACCGTGCCCCACTTCATTACAGATAGGAAAATAAGTCCCACGCTTAATCAAAAAACTCGACCAGGTGAGGAGCTGAATGAAACAGAGAAGCACTCGATTTCAACCTCAAGCAGCACAACCAAAACGATTTCAACTTTAACTTCAGAGCATATTTTGATGGAAATAACTTATCTCGGCTCAGGGCACAGAAGACCGTATTTATTTGTTTTTTTCAAATGCCTTAAATAAGCGATAAAACATTTGCATTTACGTGAATTTATAGAATAATCCATTGAAATAGCATAACATTTAATACATACACATTTAATGTAAGCGGCATGAAAACGGATAAATAAATCATGGCTTCTCCCATTCGTTCAAACGCTCAGGGTTAAGGTCAGGGATGATTCAGAGGCGGTGTCCATCGTAGCTTTACCCACCTGTGCTTTCACGTCCAGACATGGCGATCCTGTGTGCTGTCCCAGATTTCCTGCATACTGGATCACATCAGGACTAAAGCACTCTTCGCCGATGAAGGCCAAGGCCCAGTCCGGGCTCGAAATGAGGCCAAGACCCTCTGCTCTGAAACCGGAGGAGAGAAGCCGCTCGGACGCCACGGAGTCGCTGTCCTCCATGTCCTCGGAGCAGTCTGGGCTCATCTGCTCATCGTGGGCTCCTGTAAGCCTCTCCTCTCCCTCTGATAGAACCTCAGCTTCAGAGGGGCTTTCATCGCTGCCCCCCACTGAATGACCTCTTCCCTCCATGACCCCCAAGTCTGAACTGTCAGCGTTCACGCCTGGAACTGTAAATAAAGACAGAAGAGAGAGAGAGAGAGAGGGATTGGATCACATGGAGAGTCTAAAAAAGGCAAACTGGATTTGAAGTAAACAGAGAGACAGAGAGAGAGAGAGGGTGAGATCCAAGGGTGGCGCTGAGGGTGTTTGTTGCTAACCCTCTCGTGGCTGCACAATGCACTTACTGTTTAACAGATGCCCTTAAAGCAATTCACAGTTCAGTCACTATCCCTTTTTTTTAATTTCAAGTATCTGTTCAGAGCCTGTCTGCAATCAAGACAGCTCATGTCTAACATACTTCAGTAATGACAAAAACAGACCCAAGTGTGTGTTTGTGTGAAAGTCACTGACTTAATGAGTTTTAGAGAAAAGGGAGAAGAAAAAAAAGCCTTTGCAAGTTTGCTAGCACGCATTGGACCCTTCTGAATGAGCCGCAAACTTAAGAACAGCATCCAACAGCCGGCAATGGCCCTCATGACTGCAGTCAGCAGCCAAGGCGATAGAAATATACCAAAACATCACAGAGAGGGTGGAGTTTGATATCTAAAAACAGGACAGAATCTGCATGAATATCAAATCCCTTCATCTACTTAGTTAAGAAGAAAATAAAAAGTACTGCGCTTGTACTGTGTTACAATGCAGCACTTGCACATAGTACTTAGTTACAAGTTTATTTTACTTGTACTTGAGCAAGTGAAAAAGCAACATTTCCTGTAAGCAGCAGTAATGTCTCCTAATCCCTAATCTATTTATGGGAGCAGGTTTGTAACTTAAACAATCCCATCTTCCTCACATGCCATTTTTAAAATCACATTACATGCTGAATTTAAATGCATCTCAAAGGGAATCATGGCTGGCTCGATCACTCACAGCTGAAGATGAAAACCTCAGTCTGCGGGCTCAAACAGGTGATGCTCAGAGCCTGAGAGGGAGCACTTTTATTTGACTTGTTCATCCAGTTCAGCCTATGCATTTCAGAAACGGATCCAAAATATAACCGACTGTGAGAACTCTCCAATAAGAAAGAGATAGAGGTCAACAACCAAATCTTTCTCCTACCTTCACCGATGCAGTGCTGATTTTGCTCTGAACTCAATCTGACATCCTCGAGCACAGTCCTATTTTCTGCATGACAGGACTGGGCCTTGGTTTCTTCCCAAAAATCCCCAGCAACAGGACTGGACGGGCGGAAGTTTCCATTCAGATCGAGACAGCTGTTCAGGCAAACTTCTCTCTTCCCTCTCCTGACAGCGGCTATCGAGGATGGGGTAACTTTTGCCCTTTTCACAGCCTTTGATGGAGGCTGATCATTAGAGCTGCTGCACGGGGCACAGAAAACACACAGCATGTTCAAAGCAAATAATAATTAGCACTAATTAGTGGAATATTGCCAATGACATGCATTCAAGTAAGCAGGTAATCGGCAATTCAGAGAAAACACACATGGTAATGATAATAACTGAAACAGTCAACAATGCAAAACACATACAGCACTCAACTTCACAACAGATTTGCTACTTTAATCAATAATGTACTAGAATACTGGCTCCAATGGAAAACTCGCAAAGAATGAAACAAGGCAGCCACTGAACATCTTGGAGCTTATCAGTAACATTATGCACTTGCAAATGACACCAACTGAGCCGCACAATTAATACTGTGCCAAAACAGACCACTGCTGTCCTTGTCAGGGTTAGAATGAAGCGTGTCTTCATCAAGTCCCTCAATCCCTTCAGAGAAACTGAAGCACTGGAGGAACAGTGGAGAAACCCTTCACAGCTGAGCCCTGTGAACGAGCCCACAGCCAGAGGAAAAACATGTCTATCTCTCCACAAAGCGGTGTCGTCTCTCTACCAGAGCAGATTAAAGGGTCTGTCATATTGCCCTGAGCACAAGAGCATGAGCAACGCCTGGATGAAAAGACGTCTGAAAGAAGTGACAGGCTCGTCTCTATCTTATGTTTAAATACATGCATGCATTCATCCATACACTTAAGTCTACCCGATGCCCACGGCTAATTGTCAGTATATCAGTAACAATGCAGAAAGAGCTTTAAATGTGTTGACATAGCACTTGTACCAAAAAACTTACCACATAGCTATTACCATAGCTAGGAGCTGCTAATGTGGTTGGCGAGGTTTGCAAAAGAAGCTTTGTTTCTTTTTAATGTTGGCTTTGAATGTGAAAGCGTGCAGAGGAGAAGATGTCATCGTTAATCAGCACTCCATCCCATAACTTATTCCAACATCTTTGTACTCTTATTTGCACATGTAAATAAGATACCTCCCTTCTCCTGCCACATGGCTTTATCTTAAATTAGAAATCTAACTGTCTATTATAAATCAATTAATAGGGTCTGTATTTTGCCAGTTATTTCCATAATGGTCCTAATTTAAAACTTTGGAAAACATGCCTATAAGAGTTTACCAGAGGCCAAGGTGATGTCTCCAAATTAAACTACATCAAAATAAAATCCTGATAATAATACAATATTATCTGTATTATCTGTATCTGTATGAATAATCTGCAAGATAACATTCAGAAACCGTGTTTATTCGTATTACACTAAACACATGATCTCAAGGTGACTTTTTTTTAATTTCTAAGCAACATCAATTAATAATACTGTGTTGTTATTAGATATGTTTTACTTTAAAGCATTTAAAAGCCTTTATATAAGGAGTTAATATTAGTTTATTTATGCCTCACTTCATTAGCTTACACAACAGGCACTGTCTTTACAAGAAAAAACAAGCAAACAAAAAAAAACCCGAACCAAAACCACTGTTTAAAAAGATAAAAGATATGAGGAAAAAAATGCTTACAGTGTGGAAGTGCTGCAGTTTACCAAGCAATGCAATGCGCCCAGTAAGTCATCTTCCCAGTAGAGATCAGTGAATCTCTCCTTCACGATGCTGGCAAACGCCTGGTATTGGAGGTCCCTCAAAGAGAAGATGAACTCCCCTCGGAAAATGAAAAGCAGATTTTCAAATGAATATGTCTGAAAAAGAAAATCAGTGCAATAAAAATGCAAACTGGCATTAATAGAACATTACAATCTTAGACTTCGGGGCATCTATTTCTTATAACACTGAAGTCTACCCTATATGGGCAAAAGTAGTGGGCCACCTCCACATTACAACTACAGGAACTGCAGCCATAGAAACCTACGTCATGAAGTTCCTGGCACACAGCTTTTGTGTTGATGGTAATGCCAGAGGAGGTCTAGAACTCTAAAGTTATTGAGTTAGCGTAGCGTTTTTATGCACTATTCCCGTCGGCAATTCCCTCTGTAACTTTATGTGGTGCTTTCTGGCTGACTTGCCATTCCACTTTGCAATAATAATTGTAATAGTGGCATCCTATAACAGCAGAATTCAGTGTACTCTTCAGAATTCTTTCATAGATGTATGTATAGGCCGACTGCATGGCTACATGCTTGACTTTTACATAACTGTGGCAAAAAGCCCCTGAATTCAAAGATGTGGCCCAATACTTCTGTCCAAATAGTGTATCTAGTATTCCCAGAATATAGGCAACTAAAGGAAGCAACAGTGTTACATGTTTGCCAAGTATATGTAGGAACATTGTACACAGTGCAAAAGCAAAACAGAACATGCATGCTTCCGGTCGCACTCCTGACTCGATGAAGCACCCTTTGGGACTGGAGTGCTGTGTTGGCATGGAACAAACTTGCATTTGGTCTCTGGGTTATAGTTTGACTTACTCAAAGTGATCAGAAGGGAACTTCCATAGAGTGAAGAAGTAATAGCAATGCTGGGAAAAGTCCCAGTGTGCACAAAGAGAAAACTCTGAAGAAGAGATCTACCAAATTGAAATCAGTTGAGGTTTTTATGTTATTATGAGTGGACTACCAAAGAATGGATTTTACCCTGTCAAATTAAGCTGGGTGTTGTTTGACTGTTAATTAGCTGTTAATAAAGCACTGTATATATTCTTCTATTATTTATTGATATAATTCACCTGCTAATGTTATGATTATGATTGCATTAGTCTTACAAAGTTTGCACACACGGTGGAGAAGCCAAACCGTGTGCTATAATATTTTTCCATTTATTAGTCTAAAAAGATTGATAAAAGGAAATTAGCTACTTCAATGTTTCTCCCTGCTGTATAATCCTTACTTTTGCAATCTGTTTTGGATTGACTATAATATCCACGGATAAAGATGAGTCTCCAGACCTGGGACCTGTAGAGAAATTGATCACAGTAGTCCAATTCATTGGAATTGTTTGTCTGCTTGCCTATCAATCCCGCTTATCATTTCCACTTGCACTTGAGCTACAATCAGTCTGCAGCGTGGATCTAGACATTACTTTTATTTTTATTGCTTAGCATTAGCATGCTGTCTATACAGGGGCTTGCAAAGAGCTGAACTGAAGTTGCATTAGCAGCATAATGCACGTATAAATAAAGAGGATGTATGTTATATCACAAGACGGCTGATAGATTTGTTTCACTAACTCATCTACACAGGGCATTTTCTAAAGGGTATAGCAAAGGTGGCAGTTTGTCGTGAAACAACAATGGTAATCTCCACATTTTGACTTTTTTTCCCTCTTTTTCTCTTTTTGACTTTAATTGCGAAATTTCGACATGGTGTTCTTATATTGTCTGTTCTTCTTCTTTCTTGTATATTGTTTTCTTTACTTTCACACCTTTTGTCGTATTGCTTCCAAATGTCAGTGTGCAAGCAAATGTACATTGACAATAAAAAAGTTCTAAGTTCTAAGTTCTATTCTCAAAATGATTAACAATATTTTTTTTCTTGATGTGGCCCTAATACTCAGTCATAACCAGACCCTGAACTTCAACAGGTAACAAACCGAAGAAAGAAACGTAAAAGTAATGTAACGAGTAGTATAACGACTTTCCCTTGGGAGTAATTAAGTAATGTAGTGTGTTACTTTTAAGAAAAGTGTTCTGTGTAATATGTTCAAAATGTTAGGCTACCTTTTTGGAATAATGACCCCAACACTGATTGCAGCAAACAGGAGAAATACCTCTAAGATGCAAAAATACTAATACTACTTAGAGATGGTCGTGACTCTCAAAACGGAGCCAATGAGAACTCAACATGAATCGATAAGGAATCAAACCAAAAAGTAATATCAATTATGGAATCGGAATCCTTTAAATTCTTATGAAATCCAATGCCTACCCACAGATATAAATATAACTATCTGTAGATACATACCCATGGCAATGTCCTCATGCCCATTGTCCAAATATCCATCAAGGGAAAACTCCCCCTTCAACACATCGATCACCTCCTTTAAGGCAGGGTGGACGTTTGGGGAGCTGGATGTTCGAGCAGACTGGTTCTCACCTT